CAGGTTGGCAGTGGCTGTGCTGCTGGGCTGGAGCAGGGGCTGACCGCCTCTTCACTCAGGGGTAGCCCTGGGGCATCCTTAGTATCTCCCCAACCTTCTCCTGCAGCACTGTGGCTCCATCGCTGCTGCTGCCATTGCTTCCCTGGCAGGAAAACTGCATGGGCTTAGCGTGGAGAACTATACACTGTCCTTGCAGGTAGTGTGGATACTGCTGGCTGGTGAGACCTCTGCTTGGATGGAAGGAGAGTCACTGAAAGCCTTTCAGAGTATAGACCTGACTGGTTTGATGCTCAGAACGTACAAAAGCTTTTTAAAGTATTCACAAATAGACTTTTTTGATAGTTAATATTCACAGTATTTTTGTCCATAACATAGGCTAAGTTATTCACAGAAACAACTACTGCATCTCTGTTTAGATTTTAAGTTTCAGAGGAGCTCCAAAATATTTTATATTGCATTTTAAGATCATAGGATGCTATATCAGGAATTACCCCAGGCTACCCTTGACTATTAAATACTCTGCATTTTTATAATACAAAACTGGCTTTTTTTTTCTATGTCCCTCTACCCATTTCTCTGTCAAGTGGAAGGTATACCTAAATCTTTAAATCTACACTCTCTTTTTCTTTTTACTCCATTTTTTTCCTTTAACCTTACCTGGAAAATACATTGAAGCCATTGAGAATTCTTGCAAATAAAGCCATTCATCAGCATTATACATCAGAAACTCAACCTCTTTACCTACTTAACAACAAAAAATGTATGCTATTGCCAAGATAGATTAAGAAAGTTGAAGTCTAGGTAGCTGCTTTATTTCCAGGAGTTACTAATGACTATATATATTTTGAGTGTCAGAGCACTAGTCAAACCTATAAAAGAGATTGGTGACTGCTTGATATCAATGACATTTTTAAAGTTTTTCTCAGGCTTGTGTAGTGAGTCCAGCACTTGTCTGAGTCTCAGATGGGCAACAGAGTGGCCTCGTGATTAGAGGAAACTGTATCCCAGCTGTGACCAGCCAAAAGATGTGTGAATTAAAGAATGAAAGTGATAGAGAGCCATAACTGTGTTGTAGGAGTTCATGTTGTCCAGATTTCTACACCTCCCCCCCCCTCCAAAAAAACCCCCAAACAACCATTAATAGGAGAAACTTGGAGAAGTCCTCAACTGTAAATTATGTCTTTAATCCAGTTGCATCCTGTGGAGGATATTGGGATTAATTGGCTGAATGATGCGTTATATAGTCCATGCCAACGCAGTGCCTACCATCATCAGAAATGTTTCTGAAAGCTTGAAAGCTAATGTACTGCATCCATTGGGTGTGTTTCTTAAGACTCTTGAGTTTTTTTTTTTTTTTTTTTTTTTTTCAAGACCTGGAAATACAGTCAGAGTCCGTAAACCATCCCTGGATTATTGCAAGGGTAGAATATACTTTGTGGTGTGCTATCCCTGTGGTGTTAGGCCTGCAACTGCCTTGGCAGTTCTTGGGGTTTCCCACTTTTGTACAAATGGAGAGGGCCTGCGGTGGTCATGGAGCATTAGAGTTCAGGCTTTTGAGGGTTAGTAGAACTTGTAGATGTCTGAGCCTGGGAGCACCAATTTGAGCTGGATGTCTAAGAGCCTGAGGCCATAGGACCTAGTGTTTGCTGGGGAAGGGGAGTGCAGCTGTGGGTCAGATGAGACATGGTTACTTCTTACCCCAGACAGATTTGGGGTATGAAACTAGAGATAGCACACATAGAAGGTCCTCCTAAGAAAAAAAAACCTGTGGAGTGTAAAGAAGGTCAGACTCTGGATCTGTTTATTGGCAAGGATATTGCCATCAGAACACTGGGTAATAGATGCTAGCTGTGCTTAGTTTCACAAGTACCTCGATCTTTTAGATGTAGCCATGTCCTTCTAACCTGCTTGTGCCAGAGGGACACTGCCATGATTTGCATTCCTTAAAAATGAGGAGGTGCTGTGCAAGCAAGGACAGCAAAGGTTAAGTGCTGGCCGGGTTTTGTGAGCCCCTGAGAACTATGTCCCCACAGCAGGGTCTTTGCCAGCCTGCTGTGTGACCCACGGTTATGAAACCAACCATCTCCCCCCAGTACTGATGCTGTAGATGTCCTCTTTGCTCCTTGTGTCAGAGGTGTGATTTCTGCTCTCAAAGCAGAGGACAGCAAAGCCTTCCTTCATATCATTCACTAGAGAGACCTTCCATATCCCACTGCCTGATTAGGTACCTTCCTTCGAAACAACACCTTGGCTGCTTGGAGAAAGCAGTAAGTCCTCAGTAGTCTCTCCCACCTCTTTGCTGCAAGGGAGATCTTTATGGTCTCTCCTCAAATTATTTACACCAGTCTATACCAGCTGATATTTTTATGACTTGTTTTGTGGACTGCACCTTGAAATGTAGAGGTGTCCCCTTCCTCTTCCCAGGCCAGCCAGTGGTCCAGGATATGGCTGAAGGAACGTGCACACCATGCAAAACCCGGTTCTCCCGGTTTGCATGCAAAGAATTGACATCACGAAGGAACAAAAGTCATTCAAACTGAAATTGCCTGTTTGCTTTTTTGTGTTTGGAGAAATACAGCGTGTGTAGTCCCAACAGAGGCATCTTGCAGCAAGAGCTGAATTTTGCTTTTGCGTCTCAAAAGCTGGAAGTCACGTGGGCCCGGGGAGTAACATAAAAAAAAAAAAAAAAAAAAAAAAAAAAAAAAAAGCCAGAACCTGCCAGAAAGAATTCACAATAAAGGGAGAGACTTTCTTGCCTTGTGACTAAAACACCTGTCACGGCTGCCAGGACTCTGCTAATTACACAATAACTTTATTATATCCCACTTGGAAGAACAAACGATACTTGAAGCTCCAAAAATGAGCAGCCTTTAGACTAGATTGATGCAGGCAGAATGACTTCATGGAGCCTGTGTTTGCCCTGTCTTCTGAGAAGCTCTGGAGAGTAAAATGGCTTGAAGAACCCCCTCTCTGTTGCTAGTGCTACATAATAAAGTAATTATGCAATTAGAAATAGATTACTGATGGGAGAGAGGCATTTTCTATGCAATGTACGTAAAAGACAAGCTTCTCTGAATAGGTTTGTAACCTCAGTGCGGCATCTCTGCTCGTTTTTGCTTGAGCTTCTGGTAGTCCCTGGTAGCATCCAGACAGGAGAAAAGGAGCATCTCTAGTTGAGTATCTTTTTTCTTCCCATGTGAGTGTATAAGGGAGGTCCTTATGGAAGGTTGCAGTACGGTCCCCACATTGCTCAACTCCTCGGGATCCTGTGTTTGCACAGCATGAATGGCTGCAGCATGAATTAAATGGTTTCACCTTGTGATGGAGGTGTTTGTGATGTTGGCTGGCAGGTTGGGTGAGAATAGATGGAAGTGGAGAATGATGTATTAAGGCCTGATGTCCCCTGAGGTTTCCAGCTTTGGCAACTGATAGCACAGGCTGAAGTTAGAAGGTCTAAAGGTAAAACAAAGCATAAGCCAAACATTGGGCTACATCTGAATATTGTGAAATAGCTCTGTGTGGTTCTCAAGTATAGATCTTCTTTCCTCCATCACTTTATTCTACCTATGGGAACAAGCCTGCTGTTTGTTAGGGCAAGATTAGAGCAGTGATGCTCCTGGATGCAAGCACTTGGGTGTAAGGAGTCATGGCTGGGGCAGGAGGCTGGAGGAGTGGGAGCACGGTTACTGGATGGGCCTCTGCAGAAGGGAGATCAATGTGGGTGCGTTTGGGCATGCTGGTGTTCTGGGGACTGGCTCTGTGGAGATACATAAGGATGCATGAATGCTGTGGGCCTGGGGGAGGCGTGTGGACTGGCCCAGGAGGGCAGCGCTTGGCTGCGGTGCTGATGGGTGCTGAGATGCCCGGGGAGTAGGAAGGTCTCTCATGTGCACTGACCAAGGAGGTGGGTGCCGAGGGCTCCGTGCTCATGGAACAGCAGGTTGTGGGTCAGTGAAGAGGGGCCACCATGAGCTCTCCACCAGGTCCCTCTCAGCCTATTGGGGATTGATATCAGGTCCTGTGAGCACGCAGCAGATGGGGAATTGGGAGTTAAGGAGTACTTGAGATGGTGGCAGATGAATTAGAGGAGACAAGGAGAACAGAATCTTCTGGGTTTGTTGCAGCTCACCCTAAAGGTTGTGGTGCTGACTTTTCCATATTTTGCTAGGTCCTCTCTTTTCTGCCATCCTTGGGTGCCTGTGGCCTCCAAGGTGTGCCAGCATGACACAGGGCTCCTCCCACGGGAAACTCCCTCTGTATCTTTTCTCCAGTGAGAGCAAATGATGAACACCAGAGAGGCCATGGAGACTCCCACTACTTCCATCCTGGGGGTGGTGGTGGTAATTACTCTGCCTCATTTCCTTGCCTGTCTGATGGTGCTGTGAGGTTTTCAGGGTCAGGAGGGTAAGGGGGAGGTGATGTCATTTGTGGTGGTGGTAGGACACAGCATGAACTAAGAAGGATCTACTCCATCGTGAGTCCCTGCAGGTATCAGCCTGACTGAAGGTCTCCATGTGTGTGCCTGAGTGAAACTGGAGGAGGGGAGACAAGTGACTCATTGGGCAAGAGAATATGGGTTTGGGGTGAAACAGATCTTCTTTGGGGGTGATGTTTCTCCAGTCTAAGCTTGGTTATGTATTCTGCCAAGCTCACGATGCCAGGGTATACAGGCACCACAGCAACTGTTCTATCTTGTGACAGCCCTAGGAGAGGACTTCATGCAACACTCATCTCTGCTGTGGTGTCACCTGTAGCTACTTTAACCCCTGCAGGATTGTCAGCTTGGTACCCCAAAACCAGGAAAGAAAACTTGAGGTGTCTTCTCTGCCCTGTGAGGTGCCTGGGGATGGGCCAGTTGCTGGGGTGCTAGGACAGGCATCCTGTCCAGAGGCTGCTGGTAGTCCACTGCTGATCCACAGTGATCCGTGCCCGTGTGGTCAGCGGGGCTTGCCGGTCCCCTTTCCTCTGTTGTGCCTGACAGACGTGCGTGGTTTTTACAGGTCCTGTGGCAGTGATCAGTGGAGAGGAAGATTCAGCCAGTCCGCTCCATCACATCAACCATGGCATCACGACGCCCTCGTCCCTGGATGCTGGCCCGGATACGGTGGTGATTGGCATGACCCGCATTCCTGTCATCGAGAACCCCCAGTACTTCCGACAAGGTCACAACTGCCACAAGCCAGACACATGTGAGTGCCCGATCCGGCCAGAACACCCTGCGAGGACCAGGGTATGGGTTGGGGGGGGATGGGGAAGGAGGGCGAGGAGGAAGAAGTTAAGAGGATGAGGAAGAAGAGGAGGTTTTTAAGGAGAGTTGGTCTTGGTATGGTCCAGAAACCAAAGTGAATCTCAGGTTTCAGAATTCACAACATACATGTAGATGCTTCCAGAGAAGCCTTTCCACCCTCACCTTCACCTCCTTTCACCCTCCCTCTGCCACCCACCAGTCACCTTCCCCCCTTGCTGAAAGTGCCATCTGAAGCTGGGCTCTGCCTCATTGGCTCTGAGCGTGAAGTCCCAGGCATGAGCAAGAGCTGTCTGGGAGCATGGGAATGGACGTGACCCCTGCCTGGCCAGGGAAAGGACCTGCCTCCCCTTTCTCCTCCAGCAGTTTCCCAGCTATGGGGCTGCCTCCTTGGCTCCCCACCGGGCCAGGGAGAAGCTCAGGACACGTGGCCATAGATGGGGCAGGTGCATGGAGATAAAGAGCAGGAGGCTTAGATGTTGGATGTCTTGTTTTCATGGGCTTCTGTAAAGCTTCTGCATCTTCCCCGTATCAGTCTGGTTTGTGAACTGGGCTCGTTAGACTAGCAGGTGGTGATCAAGTGGTCGTCTCCATTTTGTATTCCTAAATTCTGAGTGTAAAAGAAAAGCTTTGGGTAAAAGGATGCTTTTCTGGGAGTCTCATACTGCTTCCCACATGAGCGGTGACATGCAGCCTCCCCGACACGCAGCTCGCAGCCGGTAGTTGAGTTCTCCAAGGCCTCTTACCAGCTCTGAGATGTAAGCCAAGCAATGCAGGAGGTTCACATAACATTCTTCTCCTGCTATTGCTCATCCTTTTGGTGTGTCTTGGTTCCAGGTAGAAGTGGAAAAATAAAAAAAATAAAAAAAAAAAAAAAGGAAAAAAACTCCAGCTTGTGCTATCTCTGTGGCCCAGCTGGAAGCAGGGAGTGCTGCGTTGAAGTCACCTCTGCTCTCCCCTTGGCTGCTGCTGACTCATGAGTGCAGGAAACATAACTCAGGCCCTGGAAACAGGGAGGAGGCCAATCTCCCAACCTGTGGAAACTCATTCAACATTAAGTGCTTGGCAGGAGTACGCTGCTCCCTGGCCGCCACTCCTCCCGTCAGGGGATGGGGAGCTGCAGCCACTGCTCCCATGGAGGTCTCCCTGGGGCAGCCCCTCCCAGGTGCTGTGAGCTGGTGCCTGAGCTGTTATCGCCGTGCTTCGCTTGCCAGAGTGATGGGGTGTACCCAATGAATGCACCCAGCTTTCCCTTTGATTTTCATTTTAATGTGCTAAATTTGGTCTGTTTGTAGAGAGGGGAGGAGGAGGGCGGTGATTAGACAGGAGCGGAGAAGCTGAATGTAGCGTGGTTTTTCTGTGCCGTTAATTATATATTTTACATTTCTTATAGCACCTCATCTCAAAATGATTTACAAACTCTGATGGCTCGGGAGGGGGGGCTCCCCCGCTTTATTTTTACCTTCCCCTCCTCTGCTCCTTCAAATCTCTTTAATCTATGCGCCGACCATTGCAAGGTGTGGGTGCTACTGCAGCTGTGCAGTAGCAGAGCTCAAAGGATTAAGTTGTGCTCCGAGCATTTGCCCTGTGGGGCTTGTCAGAGCTGGGCAGGTTGCAGGGGAAGTCGCTTGTGGCGGGATTTGGCCTCATAGTTTCACGGGGCTAGTTGATTAGGATCGGAAGAATTCACAGAGATGCTTGGGGGTGGCATCTGGAGCCACTTCTCCCGTGGAAGGTGCCACGGGGGTGAAATGCAGCTCTAGTGACAACTGTGCACACTTGGAAATCCATGGCAAATTGCCACCCCTGAGCTCCAAGTTTCCTGGGGCTGTGAGGCAGTGAGGCTGATACCAAACTCTCCCTGCAGGCACTCCCTTCGGGTGCAAACAAGAGGCAAAGCACAGCTGGATGCTGGCAGGCTAAAAGCCCTTACATTTTTATAGATTTGCTTGTCATTCACAGGGCAAAACCCAGGCTTTGAGACCTCAAGCAGGGTTAGATTTGGTGTGTGTTTTGTACTTGAGTCCTCAAGACTACTTGGACCAAACTTCTGACTTCACTGGTGGCTTTGCTTGAGGCTGGAAAGTTTCATAATTCACCTTTTAAATTAACCATGCTTTGGGGAGCTTTTGCTTTAAGGGGTTTGTTTGATCTGATGTGCTCTGCTCAACTTAAACCTGAGCTGGAGAATATTTGTTGCTCCCATTCTCCCTGTGGTTTTCATGCCAGAGGGTTTTTCTTTCCCCCTGTGCAGAGCTTGGACACGAACAGTTCTTCATTTGGTGTCTCTTGTAGAGAGGAGAACTCCTCTGGGCTGGGGAGTGCCTCGATGCCCAGCTGAGCTTGTACTGATGCAAGCTGTCATCTCTCTCCTGCCACCCACCTCCCTCAGAGCTGCTGTCCAGCTGTGAGCAAAGGTGCTCCACGGCACGCAGCATCTCTCCTTTGCACCGAGGTGTTGCTAGAGCAACGTCTTCAGCAAGTAATTTCTCCATCATGAAGCTTTTCTCCTTCCTTCCTCCTGCAAGCATCCCTGTGCTCTTGGATATTGTCTGGGTTGAGGACATGCCAATACCCATTGCCGCGCTGCAATGAGGAGAGCAAACTCTATATGCTTAATGCAGTATTAATAGTACATTGATGTGATATAGATTTCTGTCACCCTCTATACTAGCAAACATCGCTTATCACGCAGGGATGACGGATGTTTATTCCCAGCCACTTAGCTCTGCATAATGGAATTGCAGCTGAAATATGGAGAGCAGCTCCCTGCCCACAGCGCTGCAGCCCGTCTCGCTCCCACCGTGCAGTGCTGTCCTCTGGGCTGCTCTTGTTAACGTGTCCTCAAGGAGATAGAGATGTGTTCCCCGCTGGGGATGTTTTTCCTCGCATCGATGGGATGAAAGGCACAGGAGCCAGGTCTCACCCCCTTTTTGGGATTTTTGCAGTTGTCTCTTAGACCCTTTCTGCTTCCGCCTGATTTAGAGAAGCAGGAGGGATAAGCTTGGTTCAGGGTCCTCTTTCCCTTCCTGGCTGAAGGCTTCTGGAAGAGTTGTGGAAAAAACTGCACCACCCTCTTTTCTTGTGATAAAGCATTGAATCTTTGAGAAGATGCTATCCCCGTCTTTCAACTGTAACTCCACGGCATGCTGGGCAGCACTAGGGTTTGCAACTAATCCTTGTTTCAGCCATCCTCAGCCCTACCTGGAGGGTTAAGCAAAGTGCTTGGCAAGGGGGACAATCCAACTGCAAACTGATTTCAGAAGAATAGGCTGAAGTAGCCTTTTTCTCCTGATCTTTTACACATGGAAGTGAAACCTAGTGGCATATCTCCTCAGCAGATGTCAGCAGGAGGAGCGACAGGTTGTGATGAGTTTGCACCTCTCTATATTTGGAAACAAACAGATAAGAGGAGAAGAACAGGACTTGTGGAGCAAGCACCGTGGACAGAATATCTGAAGAGGAGATATGGTGTAGGACCGTGCGGCTCAATCGTATGGTCGGTGATTTTGATAATGCAAAACATGATCCGGTCTACACTCATTTGTGTCCAGAATATGGCCATCAGTCCTTCTGGGCAGGCAAAGTCAGCTCATTATAATGGATAGTTCCTGATCAGTGGAAGAAAAAAGGAGCATCTGCTTGGAATAAGTATATGCTGCAGTATGGCAGTAACAGCAACTTTTAACCTTAGCTCCATCTCCCAATGCTCAGGATTTGAATTTGCAAAATGGGTTATTAAGAGTAGCTGGAGATTTTTGTCATGAAAGACTGGTAAAGTTTCAGAAGAAACGTTTTGGAAGATTGTTTTACTTTAAGGATAGTAATTAATAGCATGATGCAACAGATACAGATTAGTTCTTGGATCTGATATCTCAAGCTTTACTCAAATGCCACAGCACAGTTTTGCAGTTATTCTGTTCTCTGATACTTCTTGTCAGACCAAAGAGGTCTTCTTGAGAATAACGCAAATCAGAGGAAAAACTCCAAGCCCTAATAGAGAAAATTAATCAGGGGGAAAATCCTGTGTATAACCCTGTCTGTCTCCCATCAGTGGATGCTCAATTCCCACCAGTGCTGTGAAGCTAGGCTTCGGGGCAGGTGGTTTGATTTTGGTGTAGGCTGTTGCCAGACAGGACCAGAGCTGGCTGTGTTTTCCTCTTCCAGGACTGGCACAGACTGGGGACTGGGATGCATTCTCCACACGGGTGGAGCAGCCGTCCTTCCGTAGAGTCCTAATGAGAGTTTTTTTCAACCTCATTTATTACAGGCTGCCCTGACATAATTACATATTCGAAGTTAGTAATTACACGTATTCATGCTAATTAAGTAATTAGATATAATTACAGTAACTGTAAATACATGGTAATCGGCTAAAAAGAAGTACTTCAGAAAAAAACAAGGCAAATCACACAATAAAAGCGCCATCAGCACTCTTTCACTCAGTACCCTGTCTTTATCTTGTATTTCAGTGCAGTTTAAAAGGAACATTGTGGTCAGTACAAAAATCATATTTTTTAAACAAATAGATTTCCTTACCGCTGCTTCTAATAGGTCTTGAAAACAAAAATAGGAAGGATATTTACCCTTATCACTGTGAATTCTTTTTGTTTGCCTAGTGTGTTTGATTCATCCTGGGCATGAGAAGCTAAAGAGTATGCAGCATTTCTATTTTTGGTCAGTTCATGTTCCCATTTTTTCCAAAAACAACAAGAACATAAAAATAAAGACATAAATGTTTGCAGTTTTACTTAGCTAAGAAAGAAAACCGAAACTGCTGGTAGTGGAAAAGAGAAACTTTTTTTTTTTTTTTTTTTTTTTTTTTTTTTTTTTCTTCCCAGGGATAAGAGGATTTGTCAAATATTATTTTCACACAATATAAATGTGGAGCCCAGTGTGGAGTGACAGCAGCACTCTGCTGCCCAGTGCCCAGCCTGGGGCCAG